TGTTACTGGGGAGGATGTGACATCACAGGGATGATATGATTTTATAGGAGAGATGTGATGTCATATGATGCGTGTGACCTCATAGGGCGCCTGATTGGCCACCACCCCACCAATGGGCCGTTTCGGAGGATGCAAATGTCCTGCCCTGCTGCATATTCATGAGCTCAGGGCGGGGCTTTGAGCCCTTGATCAGACGTGGGCAAGCTTTTGGTCCCTGCCCGCCGCCGCCACGCCCGGAGCGCGCCCGTGCCAAGAGCACGGGGTTGGCCACGGGAACTTTGCTTTTCCCCGCGGGGTGCACGGAGGATTTGTCGCTGGGTGCACATGGACTGGGGAGAACTTTGCCTGACGGAGCCTCTCTCCCTGCACCGCCAGGAAGAGCAGGTATTGCATCGCCCCGGCCGCAGCGGCGCAGAGGCTGCTCGGGAGGTGACAGTGTGCTAGAGGGAGATGCCCACTCGCTGTCCTTACTGCCTGCACAGCGCAGGGCTGGGGGCAATTGAGCCAGGTAGGAAAAGTGAGTGGTGGCCATCGCACGGTGCTGAAATGAGACAAGAAGTAGCAAACAGCCTGGCTGGGGGGAGCACAGTTTGGGAAGGGGGCACAGGGAAAACCCACTGTGATGTTCTGGGGTAAATAACAGAAAATAAACAGAGGAGGGTCCCCTTTCAGATATGGTTTATAGATCAGTGCACTGTGTATAGTGTAAGATAGGTTCATAAATGTAAGAATGCAATTTCTACAGCTTTTACTACAGTGACACGTTTTTTATAAAATATGTAAAGAGACGATAAGTTGGGTGTTAGGTTGGGTTTTTTTTGGTGTTGTGTTTTTTTTTTCTTTTTTTGTGGATGCTTTGTACCTCCTTGCCCCCCCAAAAAGGAGCTCTCTTGGATGTACCTTCTTACAGCTGATTTGAAGGATTAGTTTAGATAAACCTCTTAGAGTAGATGCATTTCAATGAAATCGGGGCACGTGTCTTTTTGGCTCTGGTGCAAGATTCAAACTGATTTTTTTCTTCCTTTTTGGATCAATTAAAAGTCATCTTAAAACACTCCCAGTATATTGTGTGAGTGCAGGGCTTGAGGTGTGTGGGATTGAATAGACGCAAAGAAAGAACTAACATTCAGAAACATATCTGCTTCTGTCTCAATAAACCCCAGAGTCTGACACATTGACTTCAGATTCCCAAAGAAAAAGTAGCAGTGTGTATTCCCTCTTGGTCACTCTATAGCAAATAAAGATGCTGAGGAGTATCTGGGTTTATTTGCTTTTTGGAGAAAACATGTTCCAGACTTCTCCATTATTGCTGCCCTGGTGGCATCATGCCAGATAAGAAAAGGAGTTGGGTAAATAGATAATTCCTTCTTTTTAATAACAGGTCCACAGTGGGCCAGATTTCCTCTTTTTGCAGGAACCTGCCAGCAGATGAGATCAAACTGTGTGAGAGCAATAAAGCTTTCAATTGCTGTAATGGGCAGAAGAGAGAACTGCCCCCACAACTGCTTCTGTTATCAGTTTACAAGGATGCCATGAGAAAATGAAGCAGCAACAGGACTGGAGAGTTGTACTGTTCTTTGCAGTGCTGACTGTTTGCATGTGTTTGTGTTTTTATCTTAATAACTTTGTGATATGCACGTCTGTGTGTACTTTTGTCTCAGGAGTTTTGCAGTATATAAAAGTTTCCTACAAACATAGTGTGTCTCCTCTACTTCCCAGATTGCTTGTATTATCAGCATATTAATAATTGTTTACTTATTTGTGTTTTTATCATGAGCAGCTTACTGGTAAGATTGTGTAAGACAAGCCATTTCATGTATTGCTAGTTTAAATTTTTGCCAGGTTTATTTTGTCTTTTTATTGAAAAACAAGTTGGCTTGGGAGAAGCTTTTAGATATGTATAATTCTGTCTCAATCAATTGAGAATCAAGAAACTCCACCAAATTAAGCCTGGCAGTTGATACAAGAATGTATACATATTTGGAATCATACAAATATGTATTATATGCATTGACCCTCTGCCTCAGAAGGCATCAAATTTTATATTTGGCTAAATTTCTCAAAATATTAACAAATGAAACTAAATCTAGACAAAAGAAAAGAAAGTGTGACCTGAAGAGAACCTAAGAAAGCCTTGTACCAACTCCCAAGTAACTCAATGTATTTGCATAAAAACTGATGTGTAATTTCAGGTCCAATTTCAAGACACGTTGGCCCCTCTAACAGACACAATATTATAGAATCCCTCACACCCACCACACATTAAAGGATACCCTGATTACTCATGGGGTGGAGACTTTGGCTAATGAAAATTAGATTCATGTCAGTATTAAATCCTGATGTTTGTAACTTTGTTAATGTTAGGAAATTTGATTGTATCTATTGAGATCCTGTTATGTCCCATATGCTTACCATTTTACTATAAGGTTTGGTTTTTTGGGAGAAATGAATTGCATTGGGAAAAGATTTGTGCTCTCTCTTCATTTTCTTTACTCTTCTCTCTTTCTGTCCATTACACGAAAGGCACCGCCCACAAAGAAGATTCACAGTGAACGACCACAGAAGAGAAATTATTGAGTGCATAAATCACGGGGTGGTGTCAGAGACTGAAACAGTTCATGATTTATGCATTCTAGGATTGCCAAGGGACTTTTGCAGGCTTCTGCAGGACTTTAGCATTAGACCTCTGATGGCCCATCAAAGCCCATCCCCCCCTTGACCAACCTTCAAAGGCAGGAAAAACCCTTTTCCCAGGCCCCTCACGGGAACTCTGCGCAGGCCCAGGAGATGTTGGGGGTTCGTGGCATGGCCCGGGACACCATCCATGGATATAATAACTCATAACTTCTTGGAGTGTGGGGGCTTCCCTCCCCCACCCCCAATGGATCAAGGTCACCACTTCAACTGACAGACATTGGAGCTGCAACTCCCAAGTTCCATCTCTGGACCCCGTGGGCAGTGACTATAGACAGCTTTCCACTCTCAGCTTTGCTTTCCCTTACTCTCCCTTACCCTTAGCCTGCCTTTCCTTTCCCTCCCTTATGTATTTTCCCCAAAGGTTCTCTTTATGCCATATTGCTATAGATGAAAGATATAGATGATAACACCCAAAATGCCAACATACCTGTTTACCTTTGAAACAAAATTGTTCTAAAACAAACCCTACTATATATGTTTTCAAACACCAATTAATTCAGTGTCGTTTCACTCTAATCCATCCCAAAGGATTTATTAATAAGAACCTGGGTTACTCCCCCCTTTCTGGGGCAGGTCGTAACAGACCCCTTGTAGCAGGATGTTCTGCCTGGAAAAGAATCTGATGGGAGAATGCAAGCAATGCAAGCTCTCTGTGGGGAGTTACTGTTGGTGCCAAGGGGTTGGTTTAGTGTTGAATTGTGCCAAACCCAGCCTGGTTCCCCAATCTTCCAACACACATCCTGCTTTTGGAAGCAGAGTTTGACAGATCAGCTGCTCACTGGCCTGGGAAGATGTGACTGGAGATCCATCACTGGATAAGCATAAAAGCCCAGGGCCAACTTTCCTAGAGCAGATTCTTCCACAGACACTTCTTGTTGAAGTGTGTGCAGCTTCTGCTGTGAAGCAGGGACAGCTCTTGATGGTCCCTGCCCAGGGGGTGAAAGAAAGAGAGAGCTCTGCCTTGATTTATTTCTATCAGACCCCGCCGGGCCCTCCCCGCTTCCTGCCGGGATCGGACACCGCCGGCGGCCCCGGCCCTGCTGGGCTCCATCAGCCTGAGGAATTGCTGCCAAGGAGGGGCCGGGGGCTTCCTCTTGGGCTTTGTCTCCCTGGCGCTGGGGCTCGGTTTCTACCTGTGCCAGAAGGGGAGGGGGGTCCCAGGGGGTCGTGTGTCCCCCCCCAGAGCGTCTGTGCCCCCCCGGGGACCCCCCACCCTGGTGTCACCCCCTTTTCTCTCCCCACAGAGCTCCTGAGCCGGCGGTGGCTGCAGTTCCCCCCCGGGGCCTCGGGCCCAGCCTGGACCCCCCCCCAACCCTGCGAGGATTTTGGGGGGGTCGTGTGTCCCCCCCTCCTCTGCTGTCACTCTGCCTCTGCCCGGCTGCTCCCAGTTATCCCAGTAAAGCTTCCCAGTTCTCCCCAGTCCTGGTTACTGGGGGATACTGGGGGAGGAGCTTGGGGGAATCCCAAGGGGTGGAGCCGAGTTTGGGGGGGACAGAATCTGGCCCCAGGATAGATGGGGAATTGGGACCCCCCCATATTCCCTCAATGTCAACCTGCTCTGGAGGGGCTTTGGGAGGGCACCTGCCCCTCAATAAAGCACCCAGCTCACCCCAAAACCTCCACATAGCCCCCCCAAAAACTCAAACCCACTCAAGCCCACCCAGGACCCCACCCAACCCCTTTTCTGAGGGGACTTCTCTGGGCACTGGTGGTGCTGGGAGCCCCCCTGCTGTGGGCGAGGAGCTCTCGGGTGAACAGGGGGTGAGAACGGGGAGGTCACTGGGAAAAGCGGGGGTCAGAGGGGATAAAGGGGTGGTGGGACCCCAAACTGAGCATGAGAGGGCTGGGGACTGGAGAGATGATACAGAATTGGTGAGAGAGGGGGAAAAAAAGTAGGGTTTAGGACCTCTAAACTGATCGGGGGGGGGGGGCGGGGGAGGGGGGGACCATGAAAAGGGGGAAGGAACAGGGAGAAGGGGGGAAAAGGGGGGGGGGGGTCTGGTGGGTCTGACAGTCCCATGGGGGTCTTTGGGCAAAGGGGGGCTGGCAAAGGGGGCTAGTCCCCCTGACCTCTCAACTTCCTGTGGGGTACTGGGGGCTGCTGGATCCAATCTCAGCCTTGCTTTATGTCAACAGTTTCAGTTTACAGGAATTACAGAGCTGTGACTGAACAACTTTTGTTTCCCAAGTTTTAATGATGAAAATCAGATTTATTGATAGAAATTAATTATTTAGGGTTCCAAATGATGAGACAAAAGATCTTCATCAGAATTATTTACTGCAAAATATACATACTGAAACTACCAGAAGTACGGGATAAGATAGGACAGCGCTCTACACTAAAGCAATTGTTGAAGCAATTCTACTCAAGTTAGTACAAAAGCAATAATTCTTAACTAGAGATGGATGGAACTCCCCCAGACCAACGCTCGGGGGGAGATCTCTGCTCCCAGTCTCAAGGAGTGACCTTGGGGGGCCCCCAGCCAAGGCAGCAATCTGCACACACACCCCCCCAAGAAGGGTTCTGTTGGAAGAACCTGCCCCTGGGAAAGGGGACTGGTCATTTCTGGTCAAAAGGGATGGAGTGACAGTCAATGGACTCCAGGGGTTGTCTCACTATCAGGGGGTTCATTCGGGGTGAAAGCAGTGGCCAAAGCTCTTCCTGTAGTCAGGGTTTCCTTTACCGGTGGGTCTGTTGGTGTTGGGTCAAGCCAAACTTATTGGTGAAGCTTTTCCCACACTCCTCACACTTGTAGGGCCTCTCACCAGTGTGGATGCGCCGGTGGGTGATGAGGTTGGAGTTCTGGTTGAAGCTCTTCCCGCAGTCGGTGCAGTGAAAGGGCCTCTCATCCGTGTGAGTCTGCTGGTGCTGGATGAGATGTGAGCTGCGTGTAAACCCCTTCCCACACTCCCCACACTTGTAGGGCCTCTCCCCGGTGTGGATGCGCCGGTGGGTGACAAGGGTGGAGTTCCGGTTGAAGCCCTTCCCACAGTCGGTGCAGTGGAAGGCCCACTCCCCTGTGTGTGTCGGCTTGTGCTTCAAGAGATCTGAGCTGGTCTGAAACCCCTTCCCACATTCCAAGCACTTGTAGGGCCGTTCCCCGGTGTGGATGAGTTGGTGGGACCCTAGGCTGGAGCTGACCCTGAAGTTTTTCCCACACTCCACACACCTGTAGGGTTGTTCCCCGGTGTGAATGCGACGGTGCACGTGGAGGCCAGAGCTGTCAATGAAGCTCTTCCCACACTCCCCACACGTGTAGGGCCGTTCCCCTGTGTGGATGTGCCGGTGTTTGACCAGGTGGGTGCTCTGGTTGAAGCTCTTCCCACATTCCCCACACGTGTAGGGCCGTTCCCCAGTGTGGATGTGCCGGTGTCGGATCAGGTGGGTGCTCAGCCTGAAGCTCTTCCCACATTCCAAGCACCTGAAAGGTTTCTCCCTGCTGGGAAGCTGCTTAGGGACCACCAGGTCAGAGCTCCCCCTCAAGCTCTGGCCGCCTTCCCAGCACAACCTGGGTCTTTCCTCCTCAGAGCACCCTGGGATGGCTTTGGAGCCCCTCCTGCGGGGGGATCTCCGGCCCTTTTCCTCCCCGCTGCCTTCCTGCGCCGGGGAGCCCTTCAAAACGGCCTCTCCCACCAGGGTCTCACGGGGGGATTTGTCCTCCGGGCTCTCCGTCCTCAGCTTGGGGCCTGGGGCAGGAAGCAAGAAGGACAGGGAGGGGATTTGCCTCCGGCCCACAGGGAAGGCCAAGGACATCCCCCCAACTCCGGCCCCGGCAGGACGGCGGCGGCAGCGGGGTTGTCCTGCAGCCGGGGCCATGCTCGGCTGACAGAGCCAGCACAACACCCGCCCAAAGGGCCACTGACTTCCTCCTCACCTGCCTGGGGAGCCCAAGGCATCTTCCTCTTCCTCGCAGCCTCCTCCTCCATCTGCCCAAGCTTTGGGAAGGACATATCCTGATGGGAGGAAAACAAGGGCTGAGTGTGTTGGCTTGGGGGTTCCTCCTGCCTGAGTCCATCTCTAGAACTTACTGGGCATCCTGTGACCAAAAAAACCTCCAAAACACCAAGATTCAGCCCAGAAAAACCCAAACCACCCAGATTCAGGAAAAAAACCTCTAAGAAATAGTGTTACAAACCTCCTCACAAACTGCAAAAATTTAAAATTCAGCCAAAAAATACTCCAAAACATGAAAACTTAGCCCAAAGAAAGGTGTTTAATTGGGAGGATGATGGAAGTGAGGTCATTTCATGAGCACTTGATTGAGTTGCTATATTCTAATCAAAAGTTGTATTAATGTAGTGTCACTTAAAACTCTCCAGGGCTGTTACTCGAGGTTCTCTGGCCCCCTGCCAGTCCAGGGCTGTTTCTCCAAACCACCAAACCACGTGTGCCAAACACCCTGGTTGATCAGTGCCGGTTTGGGGAGCGGGCACTCGGTGAGGGGATGAGAAAACTGCACCCTGGGCTGGGCTGAAAGAGGCTTCAGCACCACTTCTGATGGCCCAGGGGCAGCATCTGGCTTCTCCCAAACAGAGAGATGTCACTTGTTCCTCTGCAGGGAGCCAAGGGCAGGAGGGTGACTCCTGCTGCATGGATGGAATTGCAGAGGATGGCTTGGGTATCCAGCATGGATCAGCACTCAGGGATACAAACTGCCCTTAGGCTCAGGATGCAGCTGCCAGCACAGATTTCCCTGCAAAGTCTGCAGGGAGTCAAGCTCTGCAGAGGAGATTGTGCCCCATGGATGGGATTGCAGAGGCTCCCTCAGGTCCCCTGCAAGAATCAGCAACCAGGAATAGACACAAAAGGCCCCCACAAATATTTCGGGGGAGTGTCCTGTACGGAGGGGACAGTGTCACCCCACCAGGGCAGGGCTGGCAAGTGGGAGGCTGCTCCAGGGCTCTGCAAGAGGCCTCATGCTCTGCTCAGCCCCAGCACTGCCTGGTACCAACACCCCCGGCTGCCCCCGGCCCTGGGCAGCTCTGCTGCCACAGGCTGTGCCCTCACCGGGGCCCTGCAATGGCCCTGCCTGTCCCTCACCCGTGACCCTGCCCGTGGCCCTGTCCCTTGGCTCTCTCTCTGCCAGCTCAGTGTGGGGCACACGGGATGGGGGTCCCTCCCAAGCCCCCCGGGCAGCTGGCGTTGGCTGGGGGGATGTGAGGGCTGGGCCTGCTCAGCACAGCCCCGGCCTCGTGCCCAGCGCCTCTTTCCTGACCCACACAAGACCTTCCCGGCCCCCCCAGGGCTCCCCTGCTGCTGCCTCTGCTCCTGGCCCTGCCTTTGCTGCTCCCTTGGCTGGGGCAGCGGCTGCAGGGGGGGGATGGCAGCAGCTTCAGCTCCACGGCACTTCCTGGGGGGAGCTCAGCCCGGGGGGGACGGGCAGGGACCTGATGGGGATGGACAGGGGCCCAGCAGGGACAGCCAGGGCCTGCAGGGGAAGGCACAGGGACAACCTGGCCCACCACACTGACACCGCTGTCTCTGCTCCTCCTTGCAGGCTCCGTGGCCAGGCACAGTTTGTGTTCCTGGGTGCCACCATCTCAGCACTTGCAGCCGCTCAAATCAGCGCCCGCAGCTCTGCAGCAAAGCCCCAGCTCACCTGGCACACAGGGGATGGACACAGCACCTTCTCAGGGATGGGCACTCACAGCTCTGTCTCTTCCCCACCACGGGGCTCTCCTTCCTCAGCAGCACCTCTGCCTTGCACTTATTCTCAGCCTCACCTCAGGGACAGCTCTGGCCTCACCTCTGGGCCACTTCTCAGCCTCACCTCAGGGCCTGGGCTCAAGGACAGGAACCTGCAGGGAGGGGACATCATGTGCAAGCTGAGGGCTGCCTGCTTGCACTGGCCTCTGGGCTTCCTTCTCCTTCTACAACCAGCCCAGAACTCAGCCTGCTTTTCTAACACCACACATTTACAGACTAACCTTGGAGATAGATATGGACAGACATCTCTGTCACCCTGGGGATAGAGCCTCAAGCATGTGCTGCCATAGGAATGGCAATCAGAGAATCACAGAATCAGCCACATTGGAAAAGACCTCTGAGATCATAAAGTCCAACCCTGGATCCAACCCTGCCGTGCTTCCCAGACCATGGCACTGATGCCACATCCACTCTCACCTTCAACACCTCCAGGGACGCTGACTCCACCCCCTCCCTGCCCAGCCCATTCCAATCCCTGGTTCCTCTCTCCACAAAAAATTGCTTCCCAATATCCAACCTAAACCTCCCCTGGCACAGCTCAAGACCCAGCCCTCTTGTCCTACTGCTGCTTCCTGGCACAACAGCCCCACCCCCACCTGGCTACAACCTCCTGGCAGGGACTTGCAGAGAGTCAGGAGGTCTCCCCTGAGCCTCCTCTTCTCCAGCCTCAACACCCCCAGCTCCCTCAGCCTCTCCTCACACCACCTGTGCTCCAAAGCCCTCCTGCCTTCCAGCACATCAACACACCCCCAGCTTGGTGTCACCTGCACATTTGATGATGAAATGCCTGGTTCTGCAAGAGCTGGAAACACTCAAGGGGCAGTGGGACCAAGTCAGGGGCCTGGGGGGCTTTGGGGTCTGGGAGGGTCCTGGGGGAGCTGGGGAGGGCTTTGAGGATTGGGGGATACAAACCAGTACAAACCAGTACAGACCAGGACAGACCAGTACCTCCTCACTGCTCTCTGGATCTCTCCTGGAGCTGGGCCATGTTGTCCTGGGACACCTGAGCTCCCCCAATGCCCTCCCAGTACAGCCCAGTGCCCCCAGTACAGCCCACTGTGTTCCTGTCCCAGGGTGCCGGGTGATCCCTCTTTGGGGGGGTTGGAAGGGATTTGAGGGGGGGGGTAGGTGAGATTTGGGGCGATCTGGGGAGTTTGGGTGGGGATCTGGGGATTTTGGGGGGGCTTAGGGTTCATTTAGGGAAGTTAAAAGAGGTCTTAGGGGCATTGGGGCATCAAATGGATCTGTGGGGGGAGGGGATTAAAGGGAAAATGGAGGTTAGGAGATATTTGGGGGGGGCTGAGTCCTGAGACCCCCCCGGTGTCCTCAAGATCCTTTTGGTGTCCCCAGTTCCCCCCTTGACACCCCGAGACCCCCCTGGTGTCTCCAATGTCCCCAGGGCCTCTACATGGCTCCAATTTCCCCCTTGGCACCCCCAATTCCACTGTCCACAAACCCCACCCCACTGTCCCCAAACCCCATCCCTGATGTCCCCAACCCTCCATCTCACCCCAGGAGCCCCCCTGGACCCTCTGACAACAAAAAACGACCCCACCCCACTCACAGAAAGGCCAAGGGCATCTGGGGACACATTGGGGCTTTGTGGGGCACTGGGTGATTACTGGGAGATACTGGGACACACTGGGGGGAACCAGGGGGCACTGGGAAGGACTGGGGGGTTACTGAGGGATGCTGGGAGGGTACCGAGAGGGACTGGAGGTGAACTGGGGCACACTGGGGGGCACTGGCAGAGAACTGGGGAGTTACTGGGGGATTACCAGGACACACAGGGAGACACTGGGAGGTTACTGGGCCATACTGGGGGTTACTGGGTGTTCACTGCAGGATCACTGGGCCATAGGGGGGCAGTGGGAGGTCACTGGGACACACTGGGTGGTCACTGAGGGGGTTACTGGGCCATACTGAGGGTAACAGGGAGGTCATTGGGATATACTGGGGGCACTGGGATCCCCTTACCCAGATGTGGTACATCTCCCCGCCTATTTTGGGGGGTATCCCTAGGACTCCTCTCCTGGGAGCTGGGGGACCCCC